TGTAAGCGGTTTGACTTTTCTTGAATCAACATTGAGTACACCTTATTAACAGTTGGCATGAGCTGCATCAACAAGATTTGGCTCCAGACTACAGTATACGTTTCATTAAGTCCCTTGAAAATTGAAGCTTTTGTTGTGCTAAATGCCGAGTATTCATGCGAGAAACTTCACAATCACACACAGAAATGGGAATAAGAGAAATATACTCATCCCACAAGAATTTTAAACGAGTAAAGTAATCAGATATCGTGGAATCTCCTTGACTCATGGTCACAATTTCACGATGGAGGAAGAAATTTCTCAAGCCATCAACCTTGTTGAATCTTTCTCTAAGATCCTGCCAAACATGTGCAGCAGTTGTCGCAAAGACAATCCCTACTGAGAGCTCATTGGTGATTGTACTTAGATTCCACGATAACACGAAAGCATTACACCGTTTCCATTGCGAATGCGAGCCAACCTCATAATCCTCCTTGCAGCTTCCATCGACGAACTCGATCTTATTCATCGTAAGCAACACGATATTCATGGATCTACTCCATATGTTGCAATTTTCAATTCCTAAGAGATGATGAGCAACCAAAACACCTCTAGGCGTATCGGAAGGATGAAGAAACATGGGATAATTGAAATCAATCATACTTTCAGCCATCGGTGGCAAATAAAGAGATCCTAAATTCGCCTAATTTGAGATAAAAGAGGGAAAGAACCCAACATAGAAAAGAAAATGGACCTGTGTCCCAAAAAAGCCCAAAGAACTTGATACCAAATTAAAAAATATTTTACTAAAATACCTCATTTTACTAACTCGTAAATTACATTTGTACAAGCACTAATATATATACTACCGCAAGCTAACTATTACCTGACTAACAAAATGCTACCTAACTGCTTCAAACTAACTCTGCTTATAAAAGAACATAAATTATTTAGCTAACAGTACGCGCGTGTTATTGAGCATAAATCAAGTGAAGCTCATGTTGATCCGTACCATCAAAGTAAGAAGAGCAAAAAACAATGTGCACCAAGAAGCAAAATCAGAACCCATTTCTCATTGCTTTGGTTTTTCTTCTGCTTCTCAACTGCACAAACACTGGTATTATTGTTGAACTTACGGAGATATCTCCAGAAATCTCTCCCTCTATCACAAATTCCGATTAACTTATATCCCCTAAATACATACTATTAATCAACTACGATGCATAAATAAGTCCTCTGACAAATTTACGTGATGCACCAAAATAAAACTAAGATTTGAACGTCAAATCTTTCTAATCGAATCAACTTATTAAATAATCATCATTACCTTACGGTTGATACACGCAATAAAGACTACTATAAATATTCTTAATCAATATGGGAAATAGGGATGGACTGCCGGGGATGTCAGCGAACATGGCTTAACCAAACTTAACTAGGGTTAGATTGTGAGCTAAGCAATAAAAAAAAGTTCAAATCTGCAGATGAGTTGACTATCAACAATGGAGTGCCCTAGTGCAGAACGTACCTTGTCATGTACACAATGAACATATGCATGAACTATTGTTCATTTCATCATTGTAATGATTAAAGATTGAACAAGGGAGCTGAAAGTCCATTGAAAATTCTTATGGAGGAGATTCATTTCTCTTTGATATTTCACAAATAACATATCGGATAATGCCATATTAAGTTACAGATGTTGAAATTTGAATCCGGGATTAAATATTAAACTATATGTGCACAGTTTTTGCACATTGCATAATACAATATCATCCACATAACATGGAAACTGGACTTCTTTTTTCCTTTGCCTAAAGTTGACAATGTGAATGGTTGACCTTTCTTTAGACTAATGAAAAGTGATTTCATAACTCCACAGCATAAAAGCAACCAATAGAACATAGACTAATGTGATTTACGGAAAATTGAAGGAAATCCCTTTTTTTTTCATTCATAAAAGGTCACAGTGCTTTAAACCTTTTGCTTTACTTAGTTTTCTCTTTTCTTAATAATGAAGCAATCAAAATATCACGAATTCCGAACATGAAACACGGATATGGAAGATAAAAAATGAATTATTTTTTTAATTAATCTAGAAAATAGAAGAAGAAAATTCAAAGGGTGCAATCAAGCTTACATATTTGATATGCAGATGAAGTTGACTTTGGCATATCAGGCCAAGACAATGATCATGTGCCCAGCAAATCATGGCATAAGTAGCCATAATAAAAATGTTAAAGATTAGACCAAACTATATGAGAATAAAAAAAAATTAAATAAAGATGCTGTGTGCATGAACCAAATGGGAACCAGAAAAAGAACAACTAGACAAAGTCTTTGTTAAGCACAAAATAGAAAATTGTGTATGAAGTTGACTTTAGCCATGGAGAGCCAACTTAGAGTTGTAGTGGGGTCTGAAGAGGAGTTATTATTCTAATTGAGTAAAAAAAATTAAGTTAGTCGAGTTGTTGAGTATTATTTAATGTTTTAAATTTTATTTGAATTTTTTAATCAAATTTATGAAATTTAATTCAAATCAAACCAAATATTATTATTCTGCTTTTGATTATAATATTATGGTACTAATCAGTTTCAAGTTAAAAGATTATCATTAATCATATACAATATATTTGTTAATATTCTTTTTTGTATGTATGAGTAAGATTTATAATGTTTTTTATTAAATTAAATTTGAAATTATAGATTATATTTATAATGTTATTTTTTAAAGAAGATACTTAAGGACAAAGAATTTATGAAAATATAAATGAGTCAAGTAACTAATGAAAAAAAAGAATTTACGAAGAATTACCGTTAGAGGACCGAAATGAATAATACAAAGTTCAGGGGCTTCGATGAAAAAATAGGAATTTTTTTGTAATTAAAGAATTAAAGTTGCACATGTATTCTACATCGATTCAGGTGTTTGTGGTTTAAATTTGATTAAAAATGGACTAAGATGAAGGAGGAACCGAAGAAACAAGAAAATTAGAACCCAAATCACAAAACAATTAAATTACTTAACTAAACCTAAAGATCAAAAATGATTATAAATTTTAATATTCAATTTTTCTATTGTTCAAACTCCATTCGAATTTGAAATTTAGGTTACTAATCCGAGTTATCTCGAATATTTCGAATAGTCCAAACGAATCAATTTTACTCATCTTTAATTTGAAGACTCTCTATGTAACCTTCAAAATTTCTCCCCATATTTACAGTCTCATCCACTTCTCATTGCACTTAAAAAGCTTAATTGTTTTTGCTAAGCTGATAATCAACAACAGGATCATGCAAAAGTATATGAAGATATATATAGGCCCATCTCCATGATTAAAATAGGAACATATCAATAAAAAAGATGTGCAAGTCTCTGAATTGAAACCCTTTTTTATACTGTATCTTACCAAACTAGAATATATATATATATATATATATATATACATCAGTAAAATCCTGATAAAATATACTGGTGTAGGCTATGTTATTTTTTAAAGAAGATACTTAAGGACAAAGAATTTATGAAAATATAAATGAGTCAAGTAACTAATGAAAAAAAAGAATTTACGAAGAATTACCGTTAGAGGATCGAAATGAATAATACAAAGTTCAGGGGTTTCGATGAAAAAATAGGAATTTTTTTGTAATTAAAGAATTAAAGTTGCACATGTATTCTACATCGATTCAGGTGTTTGTGGTTTAAATTTGATTAAAAATGGACTAAGATGAAGGAGGAACCGAAGAAAACAGAAAATTAGAACCCAAATCACAAACAATTAAATTACTTAACTAAACCTAAAGATCAAAAATGATTAAAATTTAATATTCAATTTTTCTATTGTTCAAACTCCATTCGAATTTGAAATTTAGGTTACTAATCGGTTATCTCGAATATTTCGAATAGTCCAAACGAATCAATTTACTCATCTTTAATCTGAAGACTCTCTATGTAACCTTCAAAATTTCTCCCCATATTTACAGTCTCATCCACTTCTCATTGCACTTAAAAAGCTTAATTGTTTTTGCTAAGCTGATAATCAACAACAGGATCATGCAAAAGTATATGAAGATATATATAGGCCCATCTCCATGATTAAAATAGGAACATATCAATAAAAAAGATGTGCAAGTCTCTGAATTGAAACCCTTTTTTATACTGTATCTTACCAAACTAGAATATATATATATATATACATCAGTAAAATCCTGATAAAATATACTGGTGTAGGCTATGTCTCACATGTTGATAGGCATTAAATGAGTAAAGGTAATGTTTTAATTAAGGTTGTAATAATATATATGGGAGGTCAACTTTGAACAGAGCTTAAGTTTTTTCATGGTGTGTAAGCATGACTTGGCAACCGCATCATTGCTGAGTATCTTCATTTGAGAGTCAACTTAAGACCAAATGGTCTTGAATTTTTTCTATAAATAAATACATAAATATGTTTATATATATATATATATATACATATGCCGTTCTCCAGTGTGTCTCTATATGTGCATGAAAAGGACATTAACATCAACTGTTCACCAGAGAAAAAAAAACCTAACCTGCTTGCTCTAGCATTAGCCATTAGATGATGAAATGATTAATCTGTTTAAGTCAACAAATCACTAAATGCTGCATAATAGGATAATGTTCCACTCAGAAATCCTTTTCTAATTTGCCACACAGTACAGAGATTGCAGTACAGATTGCAGATATCGCTTAATTTAATCAACAGGCTTGAAATAAATCAACTACAAAATTGGTGACAAATGAGATTCCAATTCTAGATATCAGCCTTTGAATATCTTATCAGAAAGAAGGTTCATAATACTAAAATAGGTCAAAAAGTATGTGTTATTTGTTTTTGAAAAAAGGGATAGTTTTCCCTTAGAACTTGAGGTTCTAATACCCTAAAAACACACAGTATTCGTTAAAGAATAATACTATTTGTTTAATCGATTCTTCGATAAAACAGTGAAAACATGCAGTATAATAATCTCTTGCTTGTCCTTTCGTTAATGGCCTATAAATGGTTGGTCAGTCTTGAGCAGCTTACAATGTACAAAATAGTAAAAACCTAACCCTTGTTTTTCAACTGCCTAGATATGAAGACTTTCTTCTCTTTCATCATCTTCTGCTTTCTGCTCCTGGTAAGCAAAATCAATAATTCATCCGTTTCTCTCTTCCTGTTAATTGAGTTGAGCAACTCGAATTTAATTCGATCAAAACTTGATTAATGTGTGATTCGGGTTTCTTTCCCTCAAACTCGAGATTGACTTGATCTCTTAACGAGTCAAGTCGAGTAAAGTCAAACGTGACTCGAAAGGATAATAAAAGGCTCGTTAATTTCTTTAGGGTTGATTATGTATTGTTAAAAATCTTTTTCCTTCCAAGAATGATTGTAGTATGTTGGTTTGTTGTACTTATGGATTGTTACTTTCGAGTTTAGAATTTGAAATTGCTTTTTACATTATTTTGATCAAAATTGTTAATTTATGATTATATTAAGCTCATATGGTATCATTAGATTTTATATATTTTTAAAAAAACAAGGTAAGAAGCTTAAGGAGCAAAAAGTTAAGTTAAGCAATGAGTCAAATAACGAATTTTTTAACAAACACGAGTCGAGTAAATTTTATCGAGCTTATCAAGTATCGAGTTAAGTCGAGCACGAGTAAACAGTTTTTGAGTCAAGTAAAATATTTTTGATTTGCTGAATAAGCACCCTACTTCCTATACATCAATTATGTTAATCTGGTGTTTTTCTTTTCTGCAGTTTGTGCATCTCAGCCATGCAAGAAAAGAACCAGGGGAGTACTGGAGAAGTGTGATGAAAGATGAACCAATGCCCGAAGCAATCAAAGGGCTAATACATGAAGATCCGAAAGGTTCGGCCATGGATTCCGGCAAGAAAATGAAACAGCTCGTCAGAGATTTCGACAGTCGGCATAGCCTTATAATATACCACAACAGCCCCGAGTCTAAGCAACAGGACAAGACATATGCCAAGAAATCTGATATAAAGAACTAGACAGAACAAGTATTTGTCTGATCCAGCTGGTAGTCTGCTTGGTTGTTGTGATTAGAATTTTAGAGCAATCGAAAACACTAGCTGTTTCTATGTGGGACTAAACATGGATCTTTCCATAGTTATTTTTCAACCTTTCGTCTTCAGCTAGTTTCACTATAGAAAGAATTTTTTTTCTTCCTTATCTTAACCATAATTAATTAAATATTGATTAAGTATTAACCGTAATTAATTAAATATTGATTAAATATTGAAAATACTATCCACGAACATAAATAAAAAATGACTGTCCCTTGTTCCCATATGTAATGGGGTAAGGGGGAGGTAAGATAATAGGCTGCCCCCAACACTAGGTTGAGAGCAGCTTTCGTAGGAGACCTCCGAATTATGAAAATGTCCTCTATGGGACTCGATCCCACGACCTCAAGGTTAAGAACTTTATGCTCTACCAACTAAGTTGGATGGTCATTTTATCCACAAACATAAATCATGTATCTAAATTCAATTTGAGGGTCTCAGCATGATAACAAATAAAGTGACATCTTGATCAGCTGTGGTGATGTCAAATCCAACCAAAAAAATAAACAAAAATAATGAACAAATGATCGAAAATATATCATAAAGGCAGAAGAAAACGTGTCATAAAGGCATAATTATTAAAAATAAAAAAAATAATAAAAAATAAAGATTTGCTATAATAAATCAAAGAAAAACAATGAATACTAACGGTCGGCAATCAGCATCAAGGTTAATGCATTCTCCGATTACGAAGATAAAGAAAAAAAAAGAGATTAACGACATCTAAAGAAAAATATTTAAAAAATAGGGCAAACCCTAATAATGTCTATAAAAATAAAATAAATTAACTCCAAGTTAATTACTCTAGCATCCAAATTATGACATATATTTTAATACTTCGAAAATTGTAAATAATAATAAAACGAGTCAGGTCTTAACATTGTTTTGAAAACCGGATCGAACCGGTCGGTTCAATCGGTTCAATCGGGAATCGTTGTCTAATCCGGTTCAATCTAAACCGGTTGAACCGCTACTAGTAAACCGGTCAGAACCGCTGAACCGTTCGAACCGGATCGACTGAAAACCGGAAAAAAAACAGAAATTTTGTTTTTTTTTTTAAAAAAAATTAAACCAAACGTCGTTTGTTAAACGAGCCAAGTCGAACTCGAGTATTGCTGAGCTCAACTCGAACTTGAAAACTTTAAAAGTAAGCTCAACTCCACTCAAACTCACAAGTTAAAAATCATCAAGTTCAACTCAAACTCGAAATATAATATTGAAACTTGAACTCAAAAAGGCTTGAACTAAAAAAAATTTAGAAGCTCAATTAAAGCCTAAAATTCGAGCTTGATTAAAGTGAAAGAATAGTTCACTCAATGCTCACCAAAAGGCTCCATGATTTTGAATACCAAATTACCTCTATTATTTATAGAAGTTAGTTGTGATGCTATTCTATGTTTCTTAGCAATGTGGGATTGTTTTGTTCTCATATTTTCCTTTTAGACTTTTGTGATGCTCTTCTATGTTTCTTAGCAATGTGGGATTGTTTTGTTCTCATATTTTCTCTTTAGACTTTTGTGATGCTCTTCTATGTTTCTTAGCCATGTGAGATTGTTTTGTTCTCATATTTTCTCTTTAGACTTTTGAGATGCTCTTCTATGTTTCTTAGCCATGTGAGATTGTTTTAAAAAAAAAATTAAACCAAACAATATCATTTTGTTATGATTTTTTTAGCCCCAAATTTATTTTTTAATTATAGTTATATAATTATATTTATTATTTAATATGTTTTACCTTAAATATTATGTTGTAGTTAATTTGAATCATTTTGTTTCACTTGATTTTATGGTTTTTAATTTATATATGTTATGACTTGCTTTGAATATGACTTGTGATATAAAAAATTATTTTTATTAAATATTTTTGGTTTTTTATTAATTTTTTAAATAATTATGACGTCGTCCGGTTCTTCCGACCGGTCGGATCGGTTTGACCGGTTGAATCAGTGAACCGGTAGCATGACCGGTTCGCTAACCGGTCCAGTTCTGAAAACCATGGGTCTTAATTATTAAGCTTCAGTTCAAAATTTAAACAGAGGAATGGAATCGACCAATATGTCTAATTTTGAAATTTGTAGGAATGTAAGAAGTAATTTCAAATCTAAAAATATGATTTATTTCTCTCATTTCAAAACTACAATGACCTAAAGAGAAATTGTACCCTTTTTTATTTTCATTGGGGAGGAGAGGTCCCTTCCACTATACACGTAATTGTGTCATTACTTCATACTAAATCAATCAAATCATTTTTTATTAATTGTCGGTTCAATATTAAATATCGATATGAATGTAGTGTAGAATATATTTAAAATATGTAAATAAAAATGTTAAACATGTACATATTCACCATGTGAATTATTTAAATTTATTGTGTACGTACAATACGTTTAACCCTTATGTTAACGTGAGAATGATAAAAAAAATTGATTGATAAAATATCGATAGATTGACAGTTTAATTAAAATATTTTAAAATTTAAAGATCAATATAAAATTCGAATCGTAGTCCTAGAATGTTTATTAAATTAACCCTAAGAATCCACATCAATTTTGTCGGGCCATATAAACTGATTGTTGGGCTGGGTTAGGCTTTATTGTTCTAAGAATAGGCCTATTTGACCCAAAACTAAGTCCACATCAGCTTTTTTCTTGGGTCACTTTTAGATTTGAATTGTTGAGGACCCTTTTCTAACCTATAATCCAACGTCAACTGTACATGGCAGTACATTGCAATCATGCATAAAACAAACCGTAAATATATAGTAATAAAACAAATAGGAAAAAGCTTTAATGAAACAAAGCTTACAATTAATTTAGAGAAATAACTTCAGTGACCGAAAATGCCTTATAATATACGATTTTAACCAACATTTTTTGGATTTGCCAAAATGACCAATAAAATCGCAACGCGAGCTCTAATTTTTCAACTCAGTTTCCAAATTTGCAACGCGATTTTCCAAATCCGTTGCGATAGTCCAAGTTCACGTTGCGATAGTCGAAGTTCACGTTGCGATTTTCTAAATTCGTTGCGATAGTCCAAGTTCACGTTGCGATAGTCGAAGTTCGCGTTGCGATTTTCCAAATTCGTTGCGATAGTCCAAGTTCACGTTGCGATAGCGAAGTTCGCATTGCGATTTCCAAATTCGTTGCGATAGTCCAAGTTCACGTTGCGATAGTCGAAGTTCGCATTGCGATTTTCCAAATTCGTTGCGATAGTCCAAATTCGCGTTGCGATTTTCCAAAATCGCAACGACTGGTGGTATTGCATTTGTTTCTTAAGAATTTTCTCTAAACATATAGTATCCGCGCGGACGTGTCGAAGACACGTATTACTATTACTATTACTATTACTATTACTTACCACGACCACGACTACGACCCGAGACGGGACGGCGGGGCGGCGGTGCGCGAGAGTCCCCTTGTTCTCTTCCACTCAACAAGGAAGTGGGAATCCAGCCTTAATACCCATTCTGAATAGTGTTTCCAATACTGTGGGATTGAACATTGCCAACACTTGGGAATTTTACACTATCGCAACACATTCTTTATTTTCAAACTAAGATCTTACAAATGGCTTGAGAATCTTTACACTATCGCAACACATTCTTATTGTTTCAAACTCCACGTGAATTTGGAATAGTTAAAATGTAAACTTATTTTGGATTTTTCACTATCGCAACAACACGTTTTCAAACTCTCGCAATTTAACTATCGCAACACATTTTAACTATCACAACACTTTTTTCAAAATCGCGTTGCGAATCTGGATATTCGCGTTGCGAATTTGGAAACTGAGTTGAAAAATTAGAGTTTGCGTTGCTATTTTGTTGGTCATTTTGGAAAATTCAAAAAAAGTTGGTTAAAATCGTATATTATAAGGCATTTTCGGTCACTGAGGTTATTTTCTCTTTAATTTATGCATATTATAGTTAAGGTTTCGAGTTCCGGTCTTTGTATATGTAAAAAATATTTGCCGGGAAATTAAACCACCAAAGTCAAGTATAAAACGCGGATTGATCCGGATTAATCAAGACGAAATCTTGGAATCGTGAGGACAATAAAAAAAATAATGAAGGTACAATGAACCAGTAGTGGCCCATGCAAGCCAATGCTCCTTTGCCTGCAATTCATAGAAAAGAAGCGGTAATGCATATGCTGTTAGACTTCTAACCTTGGCACGCGTAATTCTATTGTACTTGCCCTATTATAAATCAAATAACCTAACCTCGACTATTCTATATATATATATATACTCTCTTCTTTTATATTTTTATACACGAATCTGAAAACCCTCCATCTTAACTATTATTAAACCTTAAATAAACACGTAATACTAAGCCGAAATTATTTTATTAAAAGAAACCAAGGTCACGAGGACCCCAAAATATCAAATAATAGAATTATAAATATAATTTTTGTGGGGTAAGTAACAATTTTATGATTGGACTAATTTATAATTTGACAAATTTTAAGGGGCTAATAATTTTTTTCATTTTAGGAGATCAAGGTCACTTGTCCAAGACAACTCCGCTATTAAAACATATAAAACTAACATACATATAATTGTTTTCGTTATTGAATCGAATATAAAACTAACATATAAGGTTTTATAAGATTATTCTTTTCCTTTTCAAGTGATAACATGACTTAGGGTTGATAAGAACGATTATTTATTTTCTTCACTATGCTGGGGAGATCAAATGGAATGGAGAAATGAAGAAACAAGGTATATGCTTTCTTTTACACACATATACATATATGGATGTATACCAAAAATAACAGTTTTACACACTGAACATGCATTCAACTACGTACACACACACATACATACATAAATGTGAAGGTGAATTAATTATTAAATTATATTTAAGACCACAGATTCATCATTTATGTTTGGGAGATTTGTAATGAAACAAAGGGAGAAAAAAGAGACAAATTAAAGTTCCACACAAAAAGAGGAGGCAAAATTAAAACCAAGTCAATGGCATCTTTTGCGCTTTGTCCGTTAGCATTTTCGACAAGTGGGTCA